TCTCCATCTCCATTTCCCATCATTAATCATGCCAATCTACTCTACTTGCAAAGGTTTAAGAGAGATTAGTATGATTAGTGAGTAGTTTGCTTAATGAGGTTCTAGATGTGTAGGTTAGGATGCTAAAGTGTTAGATTAGGAGTGCTTAGGGCTAGATTCCTGCTTTCATCTCTCTAAATAGCTGATCTCTATGCTAGATCCTTGCACATCACTTGAGATCTAGAATCTGGGAATTTCATGCACCACAAGTGTTTGATGAAATTCCTGAAAGAGCTATATTAGAGATTTATGCATTAATGCCATGATGATGTTTGTTATTGGCATAAATGATCACTTAGGATTGATGTTTAATGCTGTCTTGTTGTTTGATCTCCAATGATGATTGGGTACGTGAAATGGCTTGATTTGTGTCTTGATGCTTGGGAAAGATTAAGGCTTAATTAGAATCCAAAATCATTTGAATCATGTTTCATTATTGTCATTAGCATTCTTAGTTTAGCACCAAAGCACCCTAGCCAACTATCATGTCTAGAATCTCATGCTTCTATCATTCCATATCATCTCATTTTGTTTACTTGCTTGCCTGTTTAGTTTACTTAATCACTTGTCCTTGTTCTAATTTTCATCTTGTTTTAAGCATTAGTCACCAACAAACTTTACCATTTGCTTGAATCAAGAAACTGTCTTACATTCTAGTGTCTACCACACATTGGATTGATAAACCTTTTATGCTGCAACAGCTAAGGGATTGATAACCCCCATTTAAAGCTTAAAAACCTCTAGTTATCACTAAATCGGTTAAGAGGATGGTGTCTGTCATAGTTTAAAGTAAAACGAAAGAAAGTAAACAAATCTATCCTTAAAAACAAGTAGAATACCGAATGAAACCAAGCAAAAATGAAGATCCAAGTGAGCAGGTAGACTAATCGAATGTATGCAAGTGAAAATGAAAATCTAAGAAAGCAAGTAAATAATCGATGAGGTTGTAAGAAATAACTAAAAATGCTGAGCTTTCGGGAACTCTATAAGGATCATAATCGGTTTCAACGGCTATAGATTGGGATTATTGGATATTAAAATATCTAGGGTTCTAGAGCTAGAGTATCACAGTATGACTATGTCACTGTCGTGATCATAATTAACTGTCTCTCGCAACCTTGACCAGTAGGTTTTGACTCTGGCCCTAGAAGGGAAAAAATGTAGGAACTTGTATAGGACTCGTCAATACTCACGACTCCCCAATAGGTAGGTTTCCACTCCTATGGCAGAATCGCCCGTTTCATTCTACGTCGGATACTTAATGAAAACTTTCGCAACAATAACTATCTAGATCAGACACAAGGTGATCAATTAAGCATACATGCATTAAGAACATAAAATAAAATCCCAGATCTAAAAACCTAGATGTCTTAGTCGATTATGAGAGCCCCTTTTGGGAAGCCTATGCCCAACTCGGGATCTGATCTCCTAGATTAGCTACATTGGGGTTTATGTATGACAAGTTTGGGTTGTTGAAGTTGTTATACCTCTGAAACTTGTTCTGATTTCCAATGTAATGCAGCTCTTCTAGTGTTAATCCCTTCTCATTCACATTCGCAAAGTCAGGAGTTTGTTTATCAAACTCTCCAACAAAATTTATTGGCTTCTGAGTAGCCACGAGTACCTTATCCAACTTGCTCTGCAGCTCCTTGGTGTCTTTTCTCATCATTTGTTCTTCACAAGAGCCTTCTCCTCTATTGGCTTTGTCATAGTCCTCTCCATAGGTGTCATTACTCATAGCCAAGTTTTCTACCAGCTCCATTGCTGCATTGATTTCTTTGGCAAGGAAATTGCCATTGAAAGATGTATCCAGTTTATTCCTGAATTTGGGGAGAGCACCTCTGTATAGAGTGCTAAGTAGAGAAGCCTCAGAAAAACCATGATGAGGGCATTGGTTTGTATAGCTTCTAAATCTTTCCCATGCTTCCCCAAAGGTTTCATTGTTGCGTTGGGTAAAGCTTGAGATTTGATTCCTCAACTTGGCTGTTCTTGATGTGGAGAAAAATTTAGAGAGGAAAGCCAGCTTACATTGCTCCCATGTTTGGATTGAACCCCTAGGCAAGTTCTTTTCCCATTGATGAGCTTTGTCTCCTAAGCTGAAAGGGAACAATCTTAACTTGAAGTTATCCTCTGAAACCCCCCTAAGCTTTGTTAGATCATAGACTTTCTCAAATTAATCAAGGTGCTCAAGTGGATCCTCCATAGGCAGTCAATGAAATTTTGAATTCTGCACCATATTGAGAAGTGATGCCATTACTTCAAAATTGTTGTTTTGGACTGGTGGAGCTTGGATTCCTGCTCTTTTTTTATATGCATTAGCCCTGTCATCCTCTCCAACAAAGACAGGGTTTGGCTCTTGACGTCTGGAGGTTATGGGTGCGGTTTTTGATTGACCTGATGCCCTTGCTGGTTCTAGTGTCCCTGAGCTTGTCCCTGATGGACCTGCGGATATGGAACCTGAACTCCAATCCCATGAACTCCAGTACCAACTCCTTGACACTGAACATCTGCTTGAGCCTGATGCTCATCTCTAACTTGCTGCTGATCCATACCCAACCGTTGAAGATGTTCCTCTCTCTCCCTTGCTCTTCTACCTCTTCTATCAAGCAAATGAATATGGCAACTTCTGCTCTCTCCCTTGATCTTCTACCTCTTCTATCAAGCAAATGGATATTGTCAACTTCTTCTTCTGGTCCTTGGTCTATGTGACATAAACCTGAAAACTCAAAGACAGAACTGAAGAGTCTTATCAGTAAAACAAAAGAAAGCACTTGATCTCAAGATTAAACTAGAGACTAATGCTAAATCCACAATTTGGCAACAGCGCCAATTGATAAACAAGAGTTTATTGGACTCTTAGGGTATGAATCCCTTTTTCTGTTGTAGCATAAAGGGTTCCAATCCAACAATGTGGTTTAGATCACTAATCTATGAGGTTGTATCTTAACCCAAGGAATTCAAAGACGGTTGTTGTGTAACAAGTAACAAATGAAAGCTAAACATGGCTAAAACAAGATTAAGCAAGTGATCAAAGACAAACAAAAGCAAGTAAATAGCAACATGATGATATGAATATGATGGAAAGAACGGTCCTAGACAGGATAGTTGATCAGGGTACATCAATGTTAAACTAGAGAGCTAATGACAAACAACCAAACAAAATCATTCAACTTAGAAATCAAATATAGACTAATTCTCTCATGAAGCTATTAATCTCTATACTAATCCATTTTCAAACCAAATTCCCATTTGTGAAATATGAATCAGTAAGCATTAGTAATCAGCTTTAATATGTGAATTATGCATTAAACAATAATTCCCATGATGAACAAAGCATAAACCTCTAATAAGCTGGTTCAGGAATTTCATCAAACACCTTTTGGGTGGTGAAAAGCCTATGATCTAGACCAAGGTGATTATCAGAAATCTAGCTTTAAGAACAGCTAATCAGAGAAAGGAAATGCATGATCTAACTCCTAAACTCCCTAATCTAACACCTTGCACCTTAATCTACCTATCTAGAACCTTATGAAAAGACTACTCAATAATTATGATCAACACACTTAATCCTTTGCAAGATGTGTTATTAATCATGATTAGAAGCTTTAGATTATGAGAAAAGATGATAAGATTGCAAGAATCAGCTTTAAATCTGATTAACTCCAAGATATCTCTTGAAAAAAATATGGGGTTTTCACCAAAGAGGCAAGTTTCAAAAGTAGATAACGGATAAGTAGGATTTTTGGTCCCAAAAACTATTTATAAAGAGTGTGCTCGGACCGGGTCAGCCCAGGATAAACTTGGTACTGACCCAGTTTTCTGTGGTTGATCCATGCCTCAGTGTCTTGAAGAACAGCCATACAGAGGCCACACACCAAGGCGTCTTGAAACTGGGTTGAAGTGTAAAGAACATCTCTAGAACTTGTGTGAACTTTGGCTTTGATCCGGTTTAGGTCTTTGAGCGTGAAGCATTCTGTTCTTGATCTGGGTTCATGACAAGAGGCCTCGGTATCATGCACACCGAGGGGTCAGGCCGAGGTTTTACACATTTTATTCTCAAGACATGCCTCGGTGTGGAATAAGTAGAGGGGTTAGACCGAGGTAATGAACATTTGTTGCGTGCAGGCGCTACCTCGGTGTATCCAGGCCGAGGTGTCATACCGAGGGGTCATTTTCAGGAGGGCATCGGGGTAGTTATGCTGAGGGATCTATGCCGAGGCCGGATCCAACACATAGCAAAATTAAGATAGAACCTCTTTGATGCTCCCAGCTTGATACTTAGTAATTTTGAGACTAGTGTTCTCAACAAAGCATGCCTCGGTGTTGTATGACCGAGGTGCCAGACAGAGGGAATGGCCAAAATCTTCGCAAATGTGACTAGGTATCAAGACATGTCGAGGGGTTTACACTCTTAGCACCCAGACAGCTCTCTTGAACCAGGAATTATATGCTCGTATTCTGTTCGCAGTTAATCTCAGATCAGTGATTCAAATGACATGAGACCAAGCCCACAGGGTAGATTAATCAACTAGCTCGAACTTTGGTGAAGATATCAACTCCATCTGAGTTCGGCAAGGCTTTCTAGTAAGCCGATCTTTAAGACGCATTACACTGGTCCAGATTGGCTTATAGACCTGTGCTTTCTCCGTTTTGCGTTATCTCTGAGCTAACAGCTCCAAATCCCTTGAATCTAAGCGTTCTGGAAGTAGAGTCAGTGCTCTCAAAGTTTCATTCAGACCCCAGAGACTGGATCGGAAGAGAAGGGCTTTGTTCTGGATCATCTCTGAGGTGTATCGGATCGGTTCAGAATGGATGCGAGACAGTTTTGTCTTCTGTTGGCCATATTGTTCAGCTCACTGCTCCAAATACATTGATTCTAACTGTTTTGGAACCTTGACTCAATTATCTTAATCTTTTATGAAGACCCCAGAAGCTGAATCGAATGGGAAGAATTTCCAGTAATGCGATCTTTGAGACGTACCGACACCGGAGATTTTTGGCCGAGGATTATTCACGCGGTACGTGTTTTGGCCGAGTTTTCCTTCCTGTGGTATGGTTTTCAGCCGAGAAAAGTTGACCTGCGGTACACGGTTTTGCCGATAAGCCTCTAAACCTCATTTTCACCATTTTGCTCATTCTCTCACCATTTCTTCATCTGGTTTCACCTTTTCCATTCCAAGTGACCTCCAAATTACCTATTAGACACTCCAAACACGCAAGACTCACTTGGACCTAATGAAAAATTCTAAAACTCTAAAACAAAGATGAAATACAATGAATCTATATAAATGCATGCATGAGACTCTATTCTTGGACTAAAAATGTACTATAAACATGCAAAGATATGAAATTATCAAGATTAGGGTGCTTAGATACTAGTTTATGATGTTTAGATGCTAGATTCTTCCTTTCCTTTTTTATTTGGCTATTCTCTATGCTAGATCTTTCATAATCTGCTTGAATTGGACCTTAGGCATTTCATGCACCAAAATTGGTTGATGAAATGCCTGAAAGAGCCATCTTAGAGTGTAATGCATTAATCACATAAGAATGCTTGTTTAAAGATTAAATGGTAATTTAGAGCTGATTCTTTATGCTTTTTGATTATTGTTGCACTAATGAAAGTTAGATCTTGCTAATAATAACTAGGAGTGTGATTAGTGCTTTGAGAAAGGATTAGTCTTATTTAAAATTATAAGCTTAAAGAAATTTTTTTTGTATGCTTAAGCATCATAGATTAGTATTGAAAGCACCCTAATCAATTCTCACATCTAGAAGTTTAGCTTTTATGTCACTGAGTTATTTTGTGTTAAGTTGTTAATTTGATTTTGTTTGACTATTCTACTTGCTTAGTATTTAATCATTAGTCTTATTTAATCACAACACCACCTTATTCACTTGGACTAGGTTAGTTTCATATAATTTAAATCATCTTTAATTGGATTGATACCTTAATGCTGCAATGATATGAGCAATTTAAGGAATTGAACTGAGAAATATCCTTTATCAAAATGCTGTAAAAACTTGGATATGATTATTGGAGTTTTTGGGTTTGTAATAGACATACTACCAAATCATAATTCTTTTTTTTTAACTAAAAGGAAAAACTAATGAATTATTTTTTCTTTTTCTATTAATTTTTCATTCTATGAAAAATAAGTTTTTTTTTAAACTTAACTTTCAGAATTATGTATCGGTTATTAAATTTTGGAAATTTTAATTTTATTCATTTATTAATGGATTTAAAAAAATTCTAACCTTTTGACTTGTTTTTAATTAATCAATTTAAATTTTTTCCAACTTTAACTTGACATGGATTACGATTAGATTGGGTAGCAATTTTGAAACATTCAACTTTATATAAAAGTACTACTTTGTTAGCCGGGCTTCATGAAGTATTTTATATTATTTTTCATATAGTTATAAAATAAGTGAAACGAGCATAAAAACTATTTAATCTTGTCAAAGTTATCGGCGTCAAATCATATCCACAAAAGTATTATATATTTTGACATATAATACTAATAACGAAGCAAGACTAAAATCCACTACTGGTCTACATATCAAATATCAGTTGAATACTCTATATATTTCACATAATGGAAGAAAAGAATAAAATTTGAAGAGTTCAAAACTCATGGTAAAGAATAATTAATGCAACTAATTTGTCTTTTCAAATATGAATCGAATGTCCATTTTCCACAATACACTCATAATCTCTCTCTCTCTCTTTTTTTCTTTCTCTCTCTTTCTCTCTCTCTTTTCTCTCTCATGCACACTTCTCAATGTGATATGTTTAACCACATACCATACTTTGATCAGATTTAAATATAATATTTACTAAATTTTTTTCCTTTTACTTTTTTGAGTTTTGATATATTTTTCTGACTCAAATGTTGAAAATTTTCATAAAAACTTCAACCAATCACCGTTTCAATTATTGGCTTGGAAATATTATCATTTTGAAATACCACAATTACACTATTATTTTAGACTCATAAAAAACTATGTATTGTCATTCGAGTTTTAGGAAGCTCATGCATATATTTTCTTTTTCTCTCTGTCTCTGTCTCTATGTGTCTCTCTCTCAAGCACTTACCAACGCGACAAATTGAACCACATATCACATTTTGATGTGATTTAAATATAATATTCATTATATTTTATTTATCTTACTTTTTTAAGTTTCGAGATATATCTTTTTAGACGTGGAGGAGTTTTCATAAGAACCTCAATCATTCATCCTCTCAAATATTGGCTTGTAAATATCATAATTTTTGGATACGGCAGTTTATCATATAATGCTTATTAGTAATATATTCAAAATTTAAACCATAGTTTATGCAATGGATTATTCCAAGTTGGTGAAGATGATGTCTATTACTAAAAAGTGACAAACTTTTGCATTACATCTTGAGGAATTCTTGAAGACTAAGTAGGTGTTTATTTTTTCTGTCTTATTCATCGTACACGCAAACAACACAAAGTAGACAAATTAGCACACAAAATTCGTTTCTACCCATTAGATATTACTTATGCAAACTCGATACCCTGATTTGGATTTCTCAGTTGTTCTATGTACTTAAGTAATGACAAAAAAAAACTACAGTGGGTTAAAACTCAAATCACATGTCTCGTATTTTGTATAAAAGTAACAAATATTGATTAAATATGGAAAATAATATATTTTCTTTAGTTTACGAAAAGAAAATATATTAAATAATTCTATAGTTAATATTTTGGCTTTTTATTTATTTAAATAAATTATCTTAATTATGCAGGTGAAACAAATTAAATTGTACGATGTGGATGCAATGGTACTCTATTTTTGCCTCTAAACTCTATTTTTAGAGTAAAATCAGCTGCATTGGTACTCTATATCTTACTCTATAAATAGAGAAATGAACAGTATATCTCTATAAGATATACTGTTCATTTCTCTATTTATAGAGAACAACTTTTTTATTTACAAAACAATCCTTAAACTTTTATATCTTTGTATTTTACACATAAACAATAAATACACAATAAAATACCACATAATATTATATTTAATTAAACTATATCAGCAATAATTAATTATATAATCATTTAAAAGTTTAAATTACAACAACAAAATATATTAAATAAAAAATACAATAAAATAACTAAAAATAAAATTTAAAATACATAATTATAAATAAAAACCTGAATTAATTACTAAAAAACTGAATTAATAATTTGGTAAATCACTTTCAGATCCATGAAAATTTTTAAGATATTCTACAAATGAAGAAGATGTAGAAGGAGCTTGTTGATCAACCCTTTTCTTTAAGATTCTTGTTTGTTCACTTTGAACATATGCACGAATGTTTGGATCTTGTATGGAATTTAAGTCTTGAAGCAAAACTTTGTTTTCTTCTTTGAGTTCTTTTAATGCATAATTCTTACTTTGAATCTCCAAGTGGTGTTGCCTTTGTGCAGTTGTCTTCTTTAATTCTTCCACAAGTTGTCTATTTCCTTCTTCCAAAGTCTTGATAACAGCTGATGCTTGATCATCATTTTTTCTTTTCAATTTGGATTTTTTCACTCCAGGTGGTCGTTGAGATGGAGATCCGCCACTAAAGTCATCTTCATTACATAAGTTTACAGAAAATGAATACAAACCTGCAGATGGTTGTGTAGCAGAATCCGGCGTAGGATTTTCAGACTCTGAAGATGTATATCCGAAACCACATGGATTTGATATTTTTTTAGCAGAAATGACACCATCTTTAAACTTTTCAAAATTCTTAATAATATTCCATACATGATCAAATTTCCAACCAGTTTTGAACTTTGGATCTTCCATTAGCATTTCTTTAGCTTGATTGAACTACATACAAATATTAAACAAAAATAAATAAATATCCAAATAATAATAAATAAAGTAAAATTCATATATTAATACTTACAATATCATCACTTGAAGCACCACTTGGACGTCTGTTTTCACATTGTTTGATGCATGCATGTAGTTTTCTTGTTGCTCTCTCAATAGTTTTTTTTTTTTTTTCCCCTACCCATCTATTACATCACTATTAGCCAATCGTAGAGGAGGTCCGTGGACCGCCATTGACAGGCTCGGTATGATCGATGTGGGTGAAAATTTCTCCTCTTACGCGGGCTCCTTTTGCAAGACTATCCGCCCGGATGTTTTGATTCCTATGGATATGAGAAAGCCGAAATTCCGAGAAGCACTTGCGGAGGATATCGAAGCTGTTCAGCTCAGACACAAACAAAGGCCAATCTTCCGGAGTCTCAGACATGGTTACCAGGTCTAAACAGTCCGTCTCAATGTGAATCGAGGAGATCTGCCTATCTCTCAAAACAGTCATAGCCCATATGAGGCAATCCATCTCAGCATGAAGTGCTGAGAGGCTTCTGCGACACCCCTGCTGACCGACCAGTTCTGTACCTCCACCATCCACCAGTGTCCACCCGAGTCCACTAACCGGTCTGTGGTCTATCCAAGACGCATCGATTCGGCATAGCGGAATCCGCCGATTTTCAGATGTAGAAATCGGTGTCTGGGGAGCTCCTGGGGGGCCACCAACTTCAACACCATCGTCTTCTGGTTGGTTTGCAGTCCTCCAACAATCTGCTTCAACTCTTGCGTGAAGCAAGGTATCTTCCGGGGAAATTTCTTTCCCGTTGAAGATCTTATTGTTCCTTGCTTTCCAAATGTACCAAAGAATCCACGGATATAAATCTCTGTTGGGATCCGTCATGCCAATCTCTTTGGTTCCCCAAAAGAGAAAGCTCATATTTTGGTAAATAGAATTACTCGGAAAGTGGCCCGGAAGGGACGGGAAGTCCGATAACGCCCAGACCTGTAAGGCCGGGGGGCATAAGAATAAGAGATGGTTAATGGATTCTTCAGGGTCTCCACATCGGGGGCAACTTTTGTCGTTTCCCAAATGTCGGTAAGTAAGGTTTTTGCAGGTCGCGACACATCCCGATAATGCTTGCCACATAAAGTGTCTCATTTTTCCGGGCGTTCTGACTCTCCAAACTTGGCTAAGAAGTACCGTGATACTTGGCTCTCTCATTTCGCTAGCAGTGTTATCCAGCTTTATTCTTCTAATCAGATCATACCCTGATTTAACAGTGTATAGCCCTGATTTGGAGTAATTCCATGCGTAGCCGTCTAGAGTTCGGCTTCTGCTAGGTCTCAACCCAAGTATGAGGGCTACATCCTCAGGTTGGAAGAACTGATTCAGTAATGGGACATTCCATTGCTTTGTATCATGATGAATAAAATGATAGACGAGGGCCCCCGGATCTGGATATCCAACTTGGGGTGCTGCTCTTGGCGGTCGAGCTCTGAGATCTGGAACCCAAGGTTCGCTCCAGGCTTTCGTGTTCAGACCTGATCCGATTGTCTTCCTCAGGCCCATTTTAAGGTACGGTCGTGCCGCCAGAATACTTCGCCATCCATAGGATGGAGAATAGACGTTTCTCTCTTCCAAGGGGTCAGATTGTCTATAATATCTGCCCCTTAGGACCCGGGCCAAAAGTGATGAGGGGTACTGGATGAGTCACCATAGTTGCTTAGCTAGGAGGGCAAGGTTAAAATCGTGGAGGTCACGAAATCCCAGACCTCCCATATCATGGGGCATACAAAGCTTTTCCCAAGCAACCCAATGTATCCCACTGTGATTTTGTTTTGAGCTCCACCAGTACTTTGCGGTGACACTACGTAATTTGTTGATTATTCCTTCGGGCAGGAGGAAGCAAGACATAACATACGTAGGGATGGCTTGGGCAACTGATTTTATTTGAATATCTTTTCCCCCTTTGGAAAGAAGTCTTGATGACCAATTGTTTACTCGATTGCTTAACCGGTCTTGGACGTAAGAGAATACTTTCTTCTTTGAGCCACATATTTGTTCGGGAAGACCCAGATACATGCCCATACCACCTTCCGATGATATTCTGATTGCATTCTTTATCCCTTGTTTGATGTTTGGGTCTACTCTATTTCCGAACATTATGGATGATTTGCCTAGATTAAGTTGTTGTCCTGAGGCTGATCCATACGTATTGATAATACTAAAGATCTCAGTCCCTTGCTGGATATCTGCTTTACAAAAAAACAGACTATCATCAGCAAAGAGGAGGTGTGAGACCGGCGGGCTTGCTTGGGCTACTTTAAGCCCAGAGATCCTCGTTTCTGCCTCTGCACCTTGTAGTAATGAGATTAACGCCTCCGTGCACAGGATAAAAAGAAAGGGAGATAGGGGGTCTCCTTGTCGTAATCCTCTCGATGGTATAATGTTTCCTTTAGGCTCTCCGTTTATGAGGACTTGGTATGAGACCGAATAAATACAAAACATAATAAGTTTAACCCATCTTTCCGAGAAACCAAGCTTTAGCATGAGTGCTTTCAGAAAACTCCATTCAACCCGGTCATAGGCTTTACTCATATCTGTTTTGATGGCCATAAAATTCTCTCTACATACTTGGTTGGTACGCAGGGCATGGATGTTTTCTTGAGCTAATAGAATGTTATCTGTGATGAGACGTCTAGCCAAAAAAGCCGATTGAGTTTCTGAGATTATGTGTGGTAGCGTCTTTTTTAATCGTTTGCACATGAGCTTGGAGATAATCTTATAGCTCACATTACAAAGACTAATTGGACGGAATTCCATCATCGCTCTCGGTTTTTCTCTTTTGGGGATCAGACATATGTTAGTCTGGTTAAGTCTTGGGTCGAAGTATCCTGTGATAAAAAAATCCTTCACTAATTTGACTATATCATGGCGGAATTCCTGCCAGAATTTTTGATAAAATTTGCTCGTCATTCCGTCTGGACCGGGAGCTTTATCCGGGTTGATATCGAACAGGGCTTCCTTAATCTCTGCTTCTGTAGGATCTTTTAATAGGACGTGATTAGAAGTATCTGTAACTTTCTCGGTGATGAACCGGAGAGCCCTGTCCATTTCCGGAGGTTGTGTCGAGGTGAACAGGTTTTGGAAGTATTTGGAGGCCACCCGTTCTATTCCTTTTGACGTTTCCACCCAGGTCCCGTTGTTATCCCTCAAGGCAATTATACGGTTGCGGCTTCTCCTTTGTTTAGTTAGTGCATGGAAAAATTTCGTGTTCCTGTCGCCTTCTTTATGCCATCTCTCACGGCTCTTTTGTTGCCAAAACATTTCTTCCTCGCGGAGCGCCGAACAGAGTTTCCTCCTAATGTCTTCGATTTCTTCGGTTGTTGTGGTTTCATCATCCTGAGCTGCATCAAGCTGATTTTTCAGCTCTTCGATCATTTTCTCCGAGTTAGTCGGGAGTGTTTTCTTCCATTTGGAGATACTAGTACGGCAATTGGCTACTTTTTGATGGAAGTCTCGGCGTGAGCCTCCATATGAGGAGTCCCAGCCTGAGATAACCGCTTCTTTAAAACCCGGCTTACCCAGCCATCTTTTGTCAAACCGAAAGGATTTTTTCCTCTTTTGACGATCGACATGGACTCGAGCCAGAACCGGTCGGTGATCCGACCCCCATAATCTTAGGTACTCCACAGTGGTGTGGGAAAATAGTGTTTGCCATTCCGCATTTCCTACGGCCCTATCAAGACGGCATTTAACTTTGCCAGACCATCTCTTACCCACCCATGAAAAGGAATTTCCTTTATATGGGAAGTCTAGCATACCGCAGTTATCTAACATGGTACGAAAGGGGATAAAAGAGTATTCAGATCTTCTTCTGCCTCCCCTTTTCTCATGGTTTCCGGTGATATCGTTAAAATCCCCGATCATGAACCATGGATTTTTCCTTGTTAGACTTATCCGGGTTAGTCGTTCCCATACATAATCTCGGTTTTTAAGGACCGGATCTCCATAAACAAATGTCATAAAAATTTTATATCCTTCGAAGGAAGTTTCAATATCAATCAAGTGCTCGTCGGAGTAAGAAATAAAAACCGCAGGTTCATTCATATAAAAAAGTGCTAGACCGCCGCTTCGACCTCTCGGTTCTACGGAAGTTGCTCTCTCAATAATTTGAAATCGACATTGGATAGATTTTTTTGTATGTTCACTCCAAGTTGCATTTTCCCTTAAAGCTTCCACCACACGATCCCAAAACTGGTCAGAGGTTTGATAAATACCAGTTATTGGATCTTGAGAAATTTCCATATACACTTGACATAACAATTTATCTTCTTCTTTAGAATACCCAGCAGAACGAGACATTTTTGCTAAAAAGTAAGAAGAAAATGTGTATCAAAATTTATGGAATGATGTGAATGGAAATAAAAATCCATGAGGTTATTTATAGATGTTGCTGAAGTGATTCCAAGATTCTCATGTTTTGAACTTCACCACAATAAACCCTCATAATTATCAATCCAACTACACATATAACTTTATTTAATTTCTTACATGCATGTTTTAAATGGACTTGACAATCCAACTACACGTAGAAAAACTTTGACTAGAAAAACTTCACAATTAATTCTCACATTCATCATTCCAACTACATAAAAAACTTTAAATTAAATTCTTAGATATTTTAGATGACAATCCAACTACACAGATATCATTTAATTCTCACACTTGAGACTACTAGAATATCATAATAAATTCTCACATTTATATCAACCCAACTACATATAATAAAGAAGGGTCCATAACTTTTTTTTTCAATAATACAAAATAACATATTCTATTAAATACAAACCCACATGTACACATTTTCCATTGATTCTCTTAGATTAGCTAGGAAAAACGTAGAAAAAAATAGAAAATCAATTTATCATCTATAAATACCACTGCAACTTCATGTTAGTCATCACAATCTCATAACTTTTTACCTTACTCATTCTAAATATTTCTCTCAAAATGAATTTTAATCTCCCAAATTTCTATTCTTCATCATCTTCTTCAGATGATGATGACAATATGGAAATAATCAACAGTCTCGACAATGCAGAACAAGCAATACATCGTGCTATCGCTAATAACAACGCAATCATCCAATACTTTCTCAATCAACAAAGCAACGATGTAGCCCATGACAGATCGGTTCGAGGACGTACTTTCATCCACCGAGATCGGGAAAGTGCACATGACAGATTGTTCAATGACTACTTCTCTGAAACTCCATTGTATAATGATGCTATGTTTCGTAGAAGGTATCGTATGTCTCGTTCCCTATTCCTTCGTATTATTAACGCAGTTGAAAATCATGACAACTACTTCACTCAAAAGAGAGATACAATCGGTAGACTTGGATTATCATCCCTTCAGAAAGGAACAGCTGTTTTACGGATGCTAGCGTATGGTTTGCCAGCGGATGCCACAGACGAGTATGTGAAGATTGGCGAATCAACGGCACTCGAAAGCATGAAAATATTTTGTCGAGCTATAGTGGATATTTTTTCAGAGCAATATTTACGATCACCAACGGCTAATGATGTTGCCAGACTTCTTTATATTGGTGAAAAACGGGGTTTTCCAGGGATGCTTGGTAGCTTAGATTGCATGCACTGGAAGTGGAAAAATTGTCCTACTGCATGGGCTGGACAATATGCGGGACGTAGTGGATCACCAACTATAATTCTGGAAGCTGTAGCAGATTATGATCTTTGGATATGGCATGCGTATTTTGGAATGCCAGGCACCAATAATGATATCAATGTGTTGGAGTCTTCTCATCTTTTCTCCAACCTCGCTCAAGGTATTGCTCCTTCTTGTCATTATGTCATACAAGGAAACCAATATAATATGGGTTATTATTTGGCTGATGGTATATATCCAAAATGGTCAACCATAGTGCAAACTATTCATGAACCAAGGGGTCCTAAGAAAAAATATTTTGCTACACAACAAGAAGCATGTAGGAAAGATGTTGAGCGTGCCTTCGGAGTTCTCCAATCACGTTTTGCAATTGTGAAAGGTCCGGCTCGTTTTTGGAAAAAAAATGTGCTACATGACATAATGACTACATGTATAATATTACATAATATGATAATCGATGATGAGCGTGATCTGGATGCACCAATTGAAGTTGAAAGAGAAGCTCCACCTCCAGAAGTTGAAATAGCGATAGATGAAAATATCCGATTTCAAGAATTTCTTTGTCGATATAGACAAATCAAAGACAAAGAAGCTCATTTCTCACTTCGAAATGCGTTAATTGATCATTTGTGGGAGAAGTATACTAATGGTGATGTTTAAAATATGTATTATTTATTAGTTTTTCAGTTTATGTGGTGTAATAGTATTTTATAATAAATAAAATTTTAAAAATATAATTATGTTGAATTATTGTTAAAATTAAAATAAACAGATTTTTTAAAAAACTTTTAGAAGTAGAAGGTCTGATAAGCAATTAATAGTAATATTTAGAGTCAGATATAGAGGCAACCATTGCAATAAACCCCTTCTCTATTTTTAGAGATCTCTATTTTTAGAGTAAAATATAGAGGCAACCATTGCAGATGCTCTAAGATGGCATAAGGAGAAGAGAGAAATATTCTCTTTATATATAGAGTGATTTACACTAAAAGGCACTTTTACAACTTCTTCTTACAAAAAAAGACACTTTCAGCTATTAGGATACTTTTTCTGTACTTTAAACACTGTTTACACCAAAATAATCCGAAATTGCCCATGTGTTAACGAGAACGGTGGATGCAACTCGTGGATACCAAATTAAACCCCAAATTTTAAAAACATTAATTATTTTCCCCTTCAGTTTTGTGCTGTATTTTTCTGTAGTGTAAAAGATATAAAACAATTTTTTTTGTTAGATTGAATTCTAATTTTATTTTGTCATTGTTTTAAAACCCATTATGTTATACTTTCTTTATCAAACAAGAAATTTTTCAAATAACCTTTATAAAAAAAAATTAAAACAACAGAAATCTACTTAGATATCCATTCACAAAATACAATGTGGATGATGCATGATGGACATATAACATGGATACGATTGCGTGGATATATTTTCAATCATATATTTGACGTGTATATACATTTTATATTGTCCACATTATGGACATGATCGTGTGGATATGTTTTTTATTGATAGATTCGATATGGATATACATATTATATTATCAATAACCTATCCACATGATCATGTTCAAATTATAGACAATATAAAATATATATCCACGTCGAATAAATGAATGAAAACCTATCTACATAATTGTGTCCAAGTTATATGTCCATCACGCATCATCCACATCGTATTTTGTGAATGGATATCTAAGTAGATTTATGATTTTTTTAAAAAATTTATAAAGGTTATTTGAAAAGTTTCTTGTTTGATAAATAAAGTATAGCATAATGGATCTTAAAACAATGACAAAATAAAATTAGAATTCAATTTAACAAAAAAAAATATTTTAAATATTTCACAATACAAGAAAATACAAAACAAAACAAATGGGGGAAAATAATTACTATTTTTAAAATCTGGGTTTAATTCGGTATCCACAAGTTCATATCCACCATTATCGTGAACACAAAGACAATTTTGGAATGAAAAATAGAAAAATCATCTAATAGCTAAAAGTGTCTTATAGTGTAATATAAGTTTGAAAAGTGCCTTTTACTGTAATTATTTCTTATATATATAGATGAAAAATTCGTCTGATCTGTCATTGCTAACTTTACGTTGCAATTTCTATTGGTTTGGGCCCAACAGCTCGTGCATTGTTTTGTTTTGTTTTACTTGGTTCTTCTTCGACATATTCAAAGAATAAAATAAAATAGTTAAATGGGCGCACGAAGGGGTCACGGGACAGTGTCGACAGCTAATGTGGTTTTGTAGTATGCAGTTGTTTCAGTTCCTAATAATGAATTCATGATGAAATTCCTTTTTTTCTTTGCTTTTGGAAATGAACTCAACCTAAAATGATTTGTTCGTTAGTATTGAGAGTTAATAACAGCAAAGGTGTGAGTGTGTTTTTAGCTTCGATGACTAGTCGTACATAGACTCCTCACAAAGTCGCAAGTCACAAGACCTAAGACGTATTGTCTAAAAATTTGGTGGGTGTATCATATTGGACATTTCTAGTTGTATTTTTCTAAATCTTGTATTTTTTTAACACTTTAAACACTTTACACTAGATAGGGTTAGCCAAAACATCCCATAAATTTCAGAAATTGAGTATGCCAACTTTGTAAGGAGAATCCCGCAAAGGCCACCACAGATAAAGCATTTGAGTCGAAGATTAAATGACCAACTAATCTATGCGAAAAAGTTGCACACATTAAAATTAAGGGATAATTAGAAATATAAAACACAAAATGAAGAACATTGTTCCTTTAATATTTTTTTTTTTAAAGTGTCCTCTTAATACTTATCTTAATGTTAATCCTCTTTTACCCCTAAAAATTGAATTAGTAAATATTTATATATAGTTTTTAGCTTACAATTAAAAATGTAAAAAAAAAACATTGTTGGTTAAAATTTGAAATGGGAAAAGAAATTTCTACGACTCCAAAAAATTTAGGGACCCCGACACACTCTTGTTCTCCAGTCTTCTTCGTTGCATATCCTCCAACAATTTGATTTTAGGTTTTTTTGATGGAGCAGGAGAAAAAACTCGCAAAAAAAATTTGATCTCTACCACTTTTATTCCTTGATTGTTTGTGTGTAACCACCAACACGTCAATTTTAGATCATTGCACATTAGGTTATTGTGTGAATTCGTTTGTGATATGAGTGACTGGTTTCGTTAGTTTAAGATTAAAATCATTTCTACTGAGGTTACGAGTTCTCGTTGGTTTTTATTTTCCTCCATCCATAGATAGCATAACCAGGAATTCGTGTTATCTTTCGCCTCAACGCCTAAACTCATTGGTCTGTGACAGTTGGTATAGTAAATCTGACATAGAGATTTAAGCTAGTTGCAGTTAACCCTTAATGGAAATGTGAAATATGTATATTCTTACCGTTAATTGTTCGTAAATACCAGTCAATAAATGTTGGTACAAAGAAATTCCCAAAAGAATGCTAAACAGAAAAGGGAGGGAAACTACAAAACTAAATTTGTTCGTATACATCATGCAAAATATATTAAAACAAAAAAAAAAAGATGTGGAAACAAAACACAAAGGTTCTGGTTGGGAGACTCTAGTGCAAAATATGACATTTCTACTTAGTAAAAGAATATTAAAAAGATCTATATAGGCCAAGTGCGTATACATTAACCATTTTCTGTTTCTCTGTTACATATTTGTGCTGCCACAAATCTCTCACTGAAACGCTAAACCTAGAACAGAAAATCCTGAAGAGCTGTAAATTTGCTAAAGAAATCGTGAAAATTGTGTGAAGGAAAAGAAGAGAGGAAAAAAAACTTATAAAATATGTCAAATATATATATATATATATATTTTAAAATATTTAATCTTTGTTCGATAATACTTGATCTTAGATTTTCTCAGATATTGTTAACCGTTTGGTAGAATACATAATCCATATTCACTAGAAAAAAGACAAATCAGTAGAAGTTTAACTATGGAAAATGTAGAATATATAACAAAATATATAATACATATTTTAGAATATGTAGAATATATGACAATTTTTAGATAAAATATTCTATAGGATGAGTAGAAAACAAAACAAATGTAGAATATCAATTTTATATTTGGGTAATCGTGGATAAAAATAATTAATATAAACATTAGAATTGTAGAACACATTTTCTAGAATATATTTATAATAATATTAAAATATTTTTATTTCCTAAAACAAATTTTTGAATGACATTTCTTTTTCTTTTTTTTGAAATTTTCGAAATTCTTAGGTAGTTATAAATATTTATTGCAAAAATTTAAAATATTTTAAAAAGATATTTTAGTCCAAAACTGCTAAACCTTAAAAAAGTACTAGAAGGACAATATTATTTACTTTTTGTCTTATATTTCCAATTTTCCTTAAAATTAAATAGGTATGTCCATTTGGAGATGGTTTCCTATCTCATTCATATTATTCTGAATTTTTTGTCTTATTCTCATTGTTGTTCGAATAATTATCTATTTTGGACCATTTCAATTTAAATAAAAACAAAAAAAAAACTGAAAAATGAAAATCTTTTAGTTTTGAATGTCTGTTTTCTCAGTTTTTTTTTTGGTTGATTTTTTGGGGTAAAGAAAAACTACAAAAAGAAAAAATAGAAAAGGATTGAATATTGAACGCGTAGAATCAGAGTACCAAAATCATATGTTTGATCAACTAAAATTTTAACAATGAATGAAAGATATCTATAAATTGTTTTAAAATTATTGATTTTTTTGATATTATATAGAATGCTTGTCTTGTTGACTTTTATCCAAGTTACTAATAGTATAAATAGTGATTTTAGCTATTTAATTTTATTGTTTTGTTTTATTATTGGGAATATTTAAAATAATATTTTTTAATATCTTAGTTACCAGTACTCGGTATAATCCAACAACGGTATCTTCTTTGTGAGAAGAGGGAGCCCGAGATATCACACCGGTAGCTGTCCCTGAGAAAATGGGAACTGTGCAAGGATGTCATCTCGGTTACCGTCTGAGATTCCTGCCAGATAAAGAGTGGATTTCTCCACACTAATTTTTAAACCCAACATCACTGCAAATTTCTCAAAAATCTTCAGTATCTCTTCAATCGATATTTTTGTTCCATCTACAAATACCATCAGGTCTTCTGAGAAGCAGAGATGTGTAAGTCGATTACATTTGCACTTGGGATGATAACCAATTGTCCTCTCCACCACAGCAGCATCTATCAACCAAGATAAGAAATTCATGCAGATGACGAATATGTAAGGAGATAAAGAGCAGTCCTGCCTTAACCCTCTTTCACCCTGAAAAAAAACCAGCTAATTCACCGTTGATTTGCACCGAAAAAGATGCAGTCGTTACACATAATCTTATCCAATGAATGAATTCGTCTGGAAGTGCAGTATTCAACAAAAAAGACCATTCTACATAATCAAAGGCCTTCGAGATATCTATCTTCATGGAACATCTCGGGAGACTGAATCCTTATTATAATCCTTTACTAGCTCTGTAGCTAGTAACACATTTTCCAGACCAAGGCTTTGACAAAAGCTGACTGGTTCTGGGCAATACACTTCGGAAGAATGATCTTTAGTCTGTTGGCAATTTTTTTAGATATCACTTTGTACAAGACGTTGCAGCAGGAGATTGGTCAATAGTCTTTTATCTCCTTT